GGAACCACGGAAGGGACGACAGAAGAAGAATCAACGATGGAGGAAACAAATTCCTCTTGGCTTCCTCAGATCTGCTCCACCTCCGCCTCATAATCCGCCACCATCGCTAAACCCTCTGCCTCCACCTACACCACCCCCGCCGCCGACTCCAACACCAAATCCGCCGTCAAATCCTCCACCCTTGCGAAACCCCTTCTCCTCTTCTTCATATTTCCCAACAAAATCCGTCGCCAAGAGAATGCCCATCAGAACCTGAAAGCACAAATATAAGACAACAAGCCTCATATACTACTTCCCTTTCCCATTCCTGGCTTCTCGACTTCTGTTTTGGGGATGGATCTTTTGGAATGAGGGGAAACTTGATATGGGGAAGGATGATGAAAATAAGATCTTTTTTTTAATCCAAAATCATGTTTTTTATTTTGATCGGAGGTGGCCGGTCCGGATTTGGAGACAAAGATGGGGAAGAATGGAAGATGAAGAATGAAGGAGAAAGAAGGTTTGGGTCGGTCGGGTCAAATAGAGAAGAAGATAGAAAGGTTTGGGTCATGGGTTGAGTTGATTTTAATGATGTGGCGGGTTTTGATGACGTGACAAGTCGGGTTTTATTTTTATTGGGTTAAAATTGGGTGATTAGGCATTTCTGTTAGCCACATCAGCAAATAACGAACTGAGTTAACGGAGCCAGAAGGAGACTAACGGAGAGTTGGACTGTTTGATTGATTCTAGTGACTATGAACATAACTAAATATTTCGAGTGACCAAACATGAACATTTTTAGTAATCACAGTGACCAATCTTGCAATTAACCCCGTACTTAATGCTCCGTCTTTTTTGTCACCAGCACCCCAACCAGTGTAGTCAAAAGCGCGTCTGTACGTAGAAGCGTTTTGATGATCTAGAAGTGTAAAACCATAAGTTTTTAAGCTTTAAAACGCAACTTTTAACTACATTAGTTATAAAAACTGCGATTATGCGTAAAAGCAGTTTAGTGATCTAGAAACGTAAAACCGTAAGTTTTTAACCTTTTTAGCACGATTTTGACTATATTTACCCCAACACAACCATACGTAGGCAGAGTCTTGCTGGCGGTGATATCAGCCCACTGATCTGGCGCAACACCGACCGTTGACATAGTCAGGGGCTCACGACGGCGAAGAAGATGCACCTAAGAAATCTATCTCATGGGCCGATTATGTTAGGCTTGGTGACCTGACTTGGACTGGCGCACAGGCTTCAAGGTCCACTTCTGAGATCTGTATAATGGGTCGACTGTGTTGTGCCTGATGACTTAGGCTTGGACTGGCAGAGAGACCTAATTGGGCGAGAATTTGGGTCTCACTTATTAAGGGCCCAACAAAAAGTTTTGCTAGAGTTTTGGTGTGCAATTGTAGTTTGGGAGTTTAGCCCAATTTACCACATAATATCGTAACCTAATAAAAATTTATAGTTCCTATATATAAAAATATATGGTGCCTTCTACGGTACCCCGGGTAAAATCCGGGGTACCGCATACCCAGGGTGATCTTACACCGTACGTGTGATCTCAACGGCTCTTGATTTTTCGTCGTTAAATCACTTATTAATTATAACCATAATTACCAAAACCCTCTTACAAGATATAAATGTTTGCAATTTAGTCTAATTAATTGGTTTGGGTGGGTGAAGTGATTTTTTGGATTGATCTATTGATTCAATTAACCAACCCCAATACCCAACCAAACCCACGTCCCTAGAGAACTAAAGGACACCCTCCATCCACAGACCATCCCTAATTCCCTCTTCTTCTTCTTCTTCTTCCTCTTCCTTCTTCGTCCCGACTGTCCCTCCACCTTCATATTGATTCCGCCCAGATCATCCTCTCCTCCACGATCCTCCCCGAAACCCTAATTCTACCCAACCGCCTCAAGAGCTTCGAGTCCAGCGTCGGCCTCGGCTGGAAGGCATTTCAAACCTGAATTCCCTCCGTCGTGGCTCCCGCTCCTCCCACTTCCACTCCCAACAGGAAGTGATCCTCTCCATCCTCTCCTACGGCGGCGAATGAATCCACTACTTCTTCGAGCTGGCTGTCCAATCGGGTGTAATCGACGGGAGGCACGCCAAGAGGTTGGGGGAAATCAGCGCCTCGGCGGAATTCGGAGGATACAGCGCGAGCCTCTCCTTTAAAGTTAGGGATTTGAACGAATTGAAAGGGGACATAGTCGCGCTGTCGTCGACGTTCGAGATCGCGCACTGGAGAGGAAATGGGTGCGGCAATGAAATTGAAACGAAGATGGTGATGAAGAAGCTTTTGATCGTTCTCGCCGGTTTATGGCATTGGCGGCTATTAGGGAGGGACGAGTAAAAGAAGATCTCGTCGTCGTTGTTTACTCCATCGAAGCTATATCGTCTGAGCCGATTCCTTCTTGTTTTCCGGTGAGAATTTCTCTGACCCTCTCTCTCAAAAAGGGTTTCCCCCAACTCCATTCAAGTGAAAACCGCTGCTTCTTTTGAATCATTCCCAATCGGAGAATCGTCCCTCCGCCGGCGGCTAATCAGTTAGATAATCTATTTAGCTTTCTGGGTACATGCCCAATGCAATCGAGCTCGACGCCGAGGGAATTTACCGAAACAATTTTAGTTTGTGGCGATGCGTTGAGTGTTGATTTGCTATGCTGTTGATCTTATCGAACTGGAGCAGTCTTGTGTTATAATTGCTTGAGTAATCATAATTTCATATAGCCGATTGGCGAGTCCAGTGGTAATTGATAGTGGGTCTCATTCAGCTTTGTGTTATTGATATTGTATCATTCTTCTTATGAGCCACTGGTCAGGTGGATTCTCTTTTGTTTCTTTTTTACCCCTTTTAGGTTCAGCAACCTTTGTTGTACGTCTCTAATAATTTTCTTTGTGTTTCCAATTGCTAGTTGTTCTTTTCTGTTGGCTGCTTAAGGAAGCCATTTGATGTTATGTTTCAGTCTCTTCTAAGAATATCATGCTCTTGTTTTTCTTGTGCAGTCAGATGTGTTCAAGTGATGGAAACCCGGGGGGAAGTGGTTCTTGGAATTTGCAAGGGCTATTAGGTTCACATCCTACCTTCCATAAGGTGCTGGGAAACTTCAGTTAGTGGAGTCAATTATAGACTCAGGGGAGTCTCAATTTGGGAAGCAAGACTTACATCATCAGGCTCCTGGATCTGGAAGCAAATTCTAAAAATCAGACCATGGTTGAGATTTAGAATGGATGTGGCTTTGGACTGTGTTACATGGCAGGGTAAGAGGTTGGACAAATTTTCATTCTTGGCTGTTTGGGACACTATCAGAAGGAGGCAGCCTCGAGTCAGTTGGTGGAAAGTCATTTGGAACAAGCATGTCTTGCCTCGAAACAGTGTGCAGGTTTGGTTGATTATCATTGATAGAATTGATACAAGAGATAAGGTCAAAAGGTGGGGTGTTATCAATGATAGTACCTGTGTGCTTTGTGGAGCAACAAAGGAGTCTCGTAGTCATCTGTTTTTTCAGTGTGTATATATGCAGGAAGTTGTTTTTACTCTGCTGTGCGATGGAGTTGTGTTTCCAGGGAGTTGGCCCGACCTGCTAGAGACTATTGAAGCCCGAGTTCTAAAGTATGGGAGTTGTGGGGAGATTGGAGCGTATTGTCTGGTGCTGGTGCATTTGTGTTGTGTGGAAAAGAGAGGTTCTTTTTTTCATTTCTAAGATAGGGTTTACTTGCCACCATTTTATACATTGTATTGTTAGGACAAAATAAAATTCTTAGCTGATTGATCCAATGATGGTTTCATAAATTACGCCTGGAGAAATTCTCTATACTGAAAACTCAATTGAAAGTTGAAACTGAGGGTTATTACTTATTAGCAGCTTGGTTGGATTGGATTGTCCTATATCAGGTTTATTTGATGCACGGTGTTGTTAAACTCAAATAGTTTCTGATTGATAGCATTGCATGCTATCAATCTTAAGCTTATGATTAGAACATACAAGTCAACATTGGGTCGAATCAGAGTGAGTTAAGTAGAGGGGAGTACTCATGCTCGTCTTGCCCCATCTACAGACTAGACAATATCTGTTTCGAAACAGGTCGAAAAGATTATATAGGCCGAGTTTGATTCAAAATTGTCAATCTAACATTCACCTCACAAATGCAATGTATCACTATCACAAAAATCCGCAACAAGTGAAAATGTAATTTCAAACATTGTCAATCTGCCAATGAAAGGAACTGTCTCCAAACATTACCATAAACAAGTTCAAAATTTAGGATAAAAGGAAATGAATGATGAAAATCTGGAGCACACTAGGTATCTCTAAACCCCTTGTTTGCCTTCTTATTGCTTGCTTCTTCGTATTCAAGTGTCTGAGCTTTAAACCTTGGCGCATTTGCAATTGCTTTCTTGAGGACTTTGTGCCTTATGTAATTTGTTGGCTCTTTGACAAGGTTCAGAGCCACCTGCATTCTCCTCCTATCATCACAAGGCTGTATGAACAACAGATATAATGTATTAGTAAACTTTGTTCTACATAGACATTTTTGTAATGTACCATACAAAGAGGTCGTCTAGGCGGAATGTGATTTCTTACCCAAATGCCATAGTGAGAATCCCAGGCTGCACCCATCATCCAGACGCACACCCAAATCCCACTATCATTCCTATGTAATACATTATGTAAGTAAGCTAAAAGTTCATTTTATATTCAAATGATGCTAGAAAAAACACACATTCATACTTGTGATGTTGTTCTGCAAGTGAAGGAGTTGACCAAGAAAAGTCCTTAATCTTTGGTGCTGCATATAAGGTTTTCACTTCCTTATGCAAAGCCTTGAATAATTCGTTCATAAATTCAACCTGCAAAAGTTACAAACAAGAATACGTAATTTATTGGGCAAATATAATATTTGGTTTTAGGCGAAAAGTCTAAAGATACCATTGTTTCCACCGCACTCATACGGACTGTTTTCCGCTCCTGAGATGGAAACGAATCCAGGATCTGGACTTGTTTCTTGTCCACTAAAATAATAGCTAAAAACCAATGAATTCCTCCATCATCCATAGTATCTTGCATGGGCAGACACACCTACACATATACGAGAAATCACACAATCAGCTTACTAAATTGAGGACACGATAATATGCGTGGCGTGGGAAGTCATGACCTTTCTGCAGGTTAGAGCTTTTGAAAGGAATTTTGTACGGAATGCCTCTAATGCAATAGTAGGTGTCATGCCACAATTCATGACAAGGTCCTGTTCGTAGAAAAAATTAAAGAATTCAACATTGAGCTTGCTTAATAAAGTAACCAAGTATGCTTAACTATAATAGAATTACAAGGTAAAATCGATATATACCTGGAATTCTGTAGGCAGAAAGCACACCCGTTTTCCACGATCAGCATCCCTCCAAAGTTCGTCAAGGGTCAAGTGGCAAGCTAATGCTGTAATTACCTAATGCGCCACAGAACATAAACACAGAATATATAAACACTATAGTTAAAAAAGTGAAACAAATTACCAAGTAGTAGTATAATAGAACTTACATCGGCATGGACACATGAGTCAGGGCATAAGCTCCACAATGTCTTCCGGCTATAAACTTCCATCATAGTTTGGACCAAGGGTTCGTCAGGTGGAAGATCTTCAGCAAAGATATAGTGAGCAAGCTTCACATCTTCCTCACTGTAGCTTACGGTTTGAGGGAGCTTAAACCTGGTGGTACCCTACAATGATGGGTAACGGCATTAGTTGACAGCAATGTGTTTCAAGTTATCATGATATGCCCACTATTGCTCATAAGCCAAAAATTGCTCGAGACTGTAGTAATGTAATATATAGAACTGGACGCCAATGTGGAAGGGCTTTTTCATTTACTTAAAACAACACTGATTATACTCTTCATACATGAAATGGAGGGATGATTGAACCGAAAATGGAATCCTTCAAGGCAAACCAATAGCAATGCTTGTAACATACAGAGAAGCAGGATCTGCCCTTTTTATATGAAACAATGGACAAATAAATGCGAGCGTTCACTATAACTAAGCTTGCAATAAACATCAAAAGGTACTTAGAAGAATATCATGTGATGGGGATTGGGGAAAAGAAGGCATAATCAAATTCAAAGATACAGGCATGGCTACTGAAATGCATGATCCAAATCTTTTTAATTAGAAAATGTAGATACAAACAGTTAAAAAGCATAAACATAATTATAAGAAGTATCTAGTTGTAGCCTTGTATCAACCAGCAATTAATTCACAGAGATAATGATCCTAAGAACTGAAGAAGTTAAAATGTTGACATGAGTAGTTGAAATCACATCCCAAAAAGTATAATTATCCTCGTGAGGCAAGTCCATTAGTGAGGGAACCTATCACCAACAGCATTGCAAGTAAACTTGCACAGCAACCAAAGTGATTGCTAGAAACATATAATAGTATCCAGTAAGGCCAATTAAACAGCAGATCTACTAAGTGGCATTCAAATGAAACTCAAGCCATTCAATACTGAGAAAGTTCAGTATGCATACATCACCAGCTGAAACAAAAACAGAACAAACAAAGCTTTTGAAGCAATTTAGCTGTTGACCTAACCTCTCCCACTGATTTTAAGAGAGTTAAGAATCCTGGTGTGCTTTTCTAATCCTCCATCTCATCAAACCCCAAACTCAACTCTCATATATGGCAGTAGGATTCAAGTAAGGATTAAACCAACCACATATAGAGAGATCCTATGAAGACAGGCGGAACCATCAAACCCCAAACATAATATAGACATCACGAAGAGGGAATCATGAAGTGAAACTGCCAGGTTTAAGTTATCTAGTTTACTTTGGATTACCATACCTTCGTCGACAATTGTTGTGCTGGAAAATTGATTTTGTTTCCCACATCTTTCTCGTAATGGTCAACTCCAGATTCACCGTCAAGAACAATCACATTCGAGCACGGCGTCCTTGGGGGGGTCACATCATCTCCCAGTTTAGTTTTCTTCGCGGGCGATACATAGTTCAAAGCCTTTGATGCAGAACGCGTTAGCCGTGTAGTCCACTGGCCGCGAGAAATATTGTTGGGCATATTGATCTCCTCCCTAATATCATTGTATAAAAAATCAACATGTGGACGAGGAGAACAAAAACACCAAAATCACATAACATAAGTTAAAAGTAATTACAAAGAGTATTGAAGAACTATACCCTTCCTTCCCCATGATGTTATAAACGCAAATGACTTGTGCTAACTTTCGAATGGAACAGGGGGTTTGTGATTTAATTAAGTGCTTAGGCAGAGGTATTGGCTGTCATTCGAATGGTGTGGTTTAATAGCCGAGACATAGGGGCTTTTTAACCCCTCTCTCTCTCTTTAGGAATAAAGTAGAAGCGTAGAAGTTCATTGTGGCAAGTCTTATTCGGACCCAGGGAACTTCTACATTTATCCCCTCATTTAATGAAACATAATAAGAGAAGTTGTTATGAACATGGAAACTACATCTGTCATAAATTTCTATTAAACTAGTCGAATTTCGCCTGTGAATTGATTATGTTCTCTGACTTTTTTTTTTTTATGAAGGTGAATAGATTATGTTCTCTGGCGTTGTATACTGACCTCGGTCTGGGTTTGACTAATGTTAAAAAAAAAGAGTATCGGATTGACAAATCTATTTAATTAAACAGAAAAGGAAGGAGAAAAATTGTGGCCAGTTTATTTCTAATGCGGGAAGCCTTATTACAAAACTGAACAAAGAAGGCCTTGAGGGCTGACGTGGAGGGCCTCTTTTTATCAAACCCCTTAATATATATTGTAAGATCCCTAGAGGCGTAGGGAAATCAATACTTGTTAGCTGCGATTTTCAGAGTTGAACAAAGCATCTCACGAACATGGCAGAGGAGGAAACTAATCCAAACGATGCCAATGATGCTAATAATCGTCACACCGAGGAGGACATGGCAGCGGATGAACCTCATCCAAACGATGACAACAATTCTTCTAATCCTAACACCGAGTCCATGGAAGCGCAGGGAACTCCTCCAAACGGGGATACTAGTTCAAATTTTGAGGAAGATGATTTTGCCAATCTACTACTTCTACAGACAGAAGATATTATGAAACTCAGATTCAAAGATCTAGATGAAGCATATGATTTCTGGAGGGACTACGGGCTGGCCACTGGGTTTGATGTTAGAAAAGAGGAAATCGGTCGAGATAAGGACAATGTCCCGATATGGCGCTGGTTTGTATGTTCTTGTGAGGGAAAAAGGCGTAAAAAACAGACAGCACGAAAGAGAGAGCCAAGAGCAGAGACAAGGTTTGACTGCAATGCTAGGATGCGTGTTCGATATGACAAGTCTACTTCGAATTGGTTTGTGGACACTTTTGATAACGAACACTCTCATGCACTGATTCCCCAGATGTACAAGCACTACATGAAAGGGAATCGTCGTATGAGTGATGCAATTAAAGCGGCAATTAATTTTCGAAGAGCTGCAGGCATGAAAACGCATCAAATCGTTTCACTAGCCGTTGCAGAAGCTGGAGGCTATCAGAAGGTGGGGTTCACAAGGAAAGATGCATATAACTATGTGGACAAAGAACGAAGAGAACAGATTCGTGAAGGTGATGCTGCTACAGCCCTGGCCTATTTACAAGCAAAACTTAGTGCCGACCAACAATTCGTCATTGAACTAAAGAAAGATGGTGAAGACAGGCTTATTAACTTGTTCTGGGCAGATTCGATTTCGGTGGCTGATTATGCATGTTTTGGAGAATTACTGGCATTTGATGCGACGTACAAAAGGAACATTTATAAGATGCCTCTAGTCATTTTTTCAGGTACTAATCATGTCATTTTTTCCATAATATATTAACCTCCTTTTGATTTTAGAAGCCTAAAACAGTAGGGGTTTGGATGTGTTGCTGGATGTTCATAACATTAGTTTAGAGCCACCATTTCTCTTATTATTTTGCTTCTTTTCATAACATTTTATTGGTTTTACTTTTAGGTGTGAACCACCATTCAAACACTTGCATATTTGGATGTGCTTTTCTAGCTAATGAAAAAGAAGAAAATTATGTATGGGTTTTGGATGCTTTGAAGAGAAGGGTGGGGGGCGGTGTAGCTCCTAAGACTGTTATTACGGATGGGGATAAATCTATGCGCAATGCAATTCAACAAATATTCCCCGATGCAAAACACCGTCTGTGTTCTTGGCACATAGACAAGACCATTATCAGTAGATTGAAGAAATTTCCTATTTTTGTTACTCGATGGCAGTATTTTGTTTCAGCTGACTTGGAACCATCAGATTTTGAAGCTAAGTGGAAATCATTGGTTGAAGAGTGCTCACTGCAGCACAACAATTGGGTTTCCAATCTATTTAACCAAAGAACTGAATGGGCGTATACATACTTGGGCTCTAAGTTCTTTGCAGGTTTGGCAACAACCTCTAGATGTGAAGGAATGAACTCCCAGCTGACCAATTATATCCAAAATGATAACAATCTACTTGAGTTTTTTATTAATTTTGATCGTTGGAGTAGAGATATGAGGGAGATTGAGCTACACGCTGATTTTGAATCCATTCATCATGAACGGAGCATTACGTCCAATGTCTTAGTATCACTTCAGAAGAGTGCTGCTGCCTTATTCACAAAAAAGGCATTTTTTTTATTTAGAGATGAGGTTGAAAAGTCTGGAGATTGCATAAGAATGGATTCAGAGGTATCGCCAAATGAGCGCACGTACAGGATGACAATGTCTGGCAAAGAGAAGGTTTTCCGGGTCGAATACAGAACTGACCCCTTTTCCATGGAGTGTAGTTGTAATTATTACAACTATATGGGGATACCATGCTGTCATATGGTTTTTCTACTAAAAGAAGAGGGGATACTGGAACTTCCAAAAGACTTGGTACGGTTAAGGTGGTCACAGCAGCCAAAGACACTGGAGAGTTTACCGCAACAAGATAATATCGATGAGGGCCGACTTTTCACATTCAGGTTTGTGATTATTCTATAAAGCAATTAATTGTCTTATTAATTGTCTTATTATCAGGGCTGTGGAGGCTAGCTTCAGCCTAGCTAGCTAGCTAGCAATGATGGCAATGCAATTGGGAAGTTTCCCCTTTGAGGAAAACCATAAACAAGGTTGGCTGGAAATTGGGAAGTTTGATCAGAGAAAAAGTTTGATCAGAGAAATTGAGAAGTTTCCTCTATTACTTTATTTCTCTACTAAAGAATCCCTATCATTTTGGAGTATTCTGAGCTGGTGGGGAGGTTTGATTATGATATCATGAGCTATACTTTCCAGCCGACTTGTTTTCATATGGTTTTGATACTTATAAAAGCTCTAGTTGTAGTTGTCATGTATATTCTGCATTAACTAAACTATGCTGACTCTCAGGTATGGGATTATTCAACAAGCCAGCTTACAATTATGCGTAAAAGGAGCAAAATCTAGTGATTGCTTCAAGTTTGCTCGTGAAGGAATTTCATCATTATGTGAATCGCTAGACACGATGCACATTGGTACTACTGAGATACCAGACGTTCATAGATCGAAGGCAAAAGAGAAGTTGTTGGATCCATTTCCGGTGAAACATAAAGGTTCAGGGGGTCAACAAAACAAGAAGAAGAAGAAGAAAGGAGAGCAAAGACAGTGTAGTAGATGTGGGGAATGGGCTCATTATAAATCCACTTGTCCACACCCTGCTGGGTATGTAAGG